GTGGCTAGAGCAAGCGCGACAATTTCACATCTATTATTTGCGGATGATAGTTTGTTTTTCTGTCAGGCGAAACAGGACCAATGTGAGGTGATTCTACGGATATTAAAACTGTATGAGAAGGTTTCGGGCCAACAAATTTTTTTTCAAAAATCTTCAATTCAATTCGGTCACACGGTTGATAATGGTTTAAAAACGGAACTAATGGCAGTTCTAGGGATCACAAATATGGGAGGCATGGGATCCTACTTGGGATTACCAGAAAGTTTGGGAGGGTCAAAAACGAAAGTTTTTGCGTTTGTTCAGGATAGACTTCAAACGAGGATAAATGGTTGGACAGCTAAGTTCTTGTTGAAAGGTGGTAAGGAAGTGATGATTAAATCGGTAGCAGCAGCACTGCCTACTTATGTAATGTCTTGTTTTCGGCTACCCAAGACAGTGACGAATAAGCTTACCTGTGCGGTTACGAAATATTGGTGGAGTTCAAATGGCTTATTCGGAGGGATGCATTGGTTGGCATGGGAAAAAGTATGTACTAGTAAATCTGCTGGAGGGCTGGGTTTCCGGCATATCGAGGAATTCAATACGGCATTGTTGGCTAAGCAACTCTGGCGTTTGATAAGTGTCCCAGATTGTTTGTTTGCCAAGGTTTTTAAAGGAAGATATTATCGGAAATCAGACCCAATGGGAATGATTAAATCATATTCTCCATCTTATGGATGGAGAAGTATCGTCTCTGCTCGACCTCTGGTTAGTAAAGGACTTATTAAAAGAGTCGGTAATGGAGAAACCATTTCAGTTTGGGAAGATCCATGGATACCTGCTCAACTCCCGAGGCCAGCCCTTCGTACTGATTCATTTGATGAATCGGTTTTAAATCTAAAAGTCAATTCGTTGATTGATTCCTAGACATGCTCTTGGAAGATGACAATGCTTCAAGCCTTGTTCAGTCCAGAGGATGTCTCCTTAATAAGTGCAATCCCGTTAAGATTTCCGCAAGATTCAGATTCAATGTTTTGGCATTTTACCAAAACAGGCAAATACACGGTTAAATCTGGGTATTATACTGGTAGAGAGCAATCTCAGAAAACTAGGTCTGATACCCGTCTTGGTCCGGATATATTTAAGTTACAAGCTTTTGTATGGAAAGTTCATTGTCCACCTAAATTAAGACATTTTATGTGGCAGGTGGTTTCTGGCTGTATTTCGGTAAATAAAAATTTAGCAAATAGAGGTTTGAATTGTGATCCAAGCTGCAATAGATGCGGGGAGTTGGAGTCGGTAAATCATACACTATTTCAATGTCCGCCAGCACTGCAAGTATGGGCTCTATCGCCAGTGCCGTCGGCAATTGGGGTTTTCCCATCTGACTCGATTTATGCGAACATGGACTATTTATTTTGGCGGAAACCCAAAAGAGTGGATATCTCTATTTTTCCTTGGATCTTGTGGTATATTTGGAAGGCCAGAAATGAAAAGGTTTTTGATAATGTGGATAGGGATGTGAGGGATGTATTGCGTCAAGCTGTAAGTGAATCTGGGTTATGGGTACCGACACAAGCGGAGGGTGCAATTATGGACACTAAGGGAACACCACGACAACCATCCTTCCCAGGGGAAGGTTCAGTGGTCAGGGCTTGCGGAGATACATGCTTTATTGATGGCTCTTGGAAAGATGATGATAAATTTGCAGGACTGGGTTGGTTTTGCACCTCCTCGGGCGGACCATCTACTATGGGCGCGGCAAATCTACGAAGAAGTATATCCCCTTTACACACAGAAGTAGAAGCACTGGTGTGGGCGATGAAGTGTATGATTGATGCATCCCTGAGAGAAGTGACGTGTATTATAGACTGCTCGGATTTGGTGGAGATGGTGTCTTCCCCAACAGAATGGCATGTGTTCGCGACATACCTTACGGAGATCCAAGCAGACAGGGAAGTGTTTATTTCCTTCTCGTTAGTTAAAGTCTCTCGTTGCTCTAATGTTCAAGCGGATAAGTTGGCACGCCGAGCGCGTGTTGAACCGCTACTTTGTCTCTATGTAAACAATGTTCCCAACTCTTGGCTCAATTGAGTCTATTTATAAAAGCTGTTGACAAAAAAAAAAGACATGTAATATCATCATAACAACGTATTGAGTACTGTTTGGTAACAATATATACTAAAACGTACAAAAGTTATAAAAAAATATCTTAGTATACGCACACATAAAAATTAAAACTACATGGATTAACGAACATATTATTACCAAACACTCCTAATATCAACTATTTAATCATTAATTTTTTAATCATGATACTTATCAACACAATTACAAAAAATTGGAACATTACGAAAGTGTTTTCGTTAAACAAAAGAAAAAAATGATTCACACAAATGTACCATATTCTTCGATATATACATACAAACTTTACAATTAGACCGTAGGTATATGTAAATTATGACGTTTAAAATTCTACATTAACAGAAATGCATATAAAATACTCAGACCTGTAGTGATGTATCACGGGGTAAATTTTGTTTTGGAAAATACAACTATATTATAATTTGGTATTATAACACTATAACATTTATATTAATCACTAAAGAAACTCAATCAATTTATTATACAAAATCACGAATATTATATATAAATTTTGAAAGAAAATTTATATTATCACTATAACATTTATATTAATCACTAAAGAAACCCAATCATTTTATTACACAAAATCACAAATATTACATATAAATTTTGAAAGAAAAATTATATTATAATACTATAACATTTATATTAATCATTAAAGAAACTCAATCATTTTATTACACAAAATCACGAATATTACACATAAATGTTCAAAGAAAATGGACTCGTGGTGCACCACGGGGTAAAATATGTTTTCGTTTAACAAAAAAGAAACTAGGAAATTCCTCTTCCACTCTAACGCAAGTACGCATCTAGCATATTCTTCGATATATGTAAACCACACAGGATATATTGTTCATGTTGCCAATCAAAAGACTATGCTAAATAAACTTTGTATATAACCGTACGTGTATATAAACTATAACGATTAAGGTTTTACATAATAGATACGCATAAAATACTAGCCCATGGTGTACCACGGGGTAAAATCTAGTCATATATTATAGATTTGTAATCATAGTTTGAAATTAAGTAACTTCCAAATTATATCCATATTTATTATATGAACTACAGCTATATATAAAAATGTTCTTAATTTTAAACAGCTAATTTTATTTAATAAATTTCCAAATAATATTTGAAAAATTTTATATACATTAAACAAACAAAAAATTCACTACCCCACTATATATAATATATCTCTAGCTATATTATTCTACAAAACGAAACAAATATATGAATTTTATATTACCCACTAAAAATAAGCACATTTTAAGTTGTATACTATATAAAATATAAGAAGGAAATATTATTGTTTTTGGGTTACGACACAATAAATTAATTATATAATAATTTATAAACGAAATAAAAATATTATCAAAAATAAAATAAAAAATTAAAATCATTTTAAAAAATTAAAATTATTCCCGCGGTTTAAACGTAGCTTCCTTTAGTTTTATTGTGTTAGACCCAACAAAGGTCATGTAGTCGCCTATAATCAAAACAAATTATTCATGATTTTAGAATAAACCATCGAGAAGGGGATCTACAATACAAACATTACAAGTTTACAAAAGAGTATACAGTAAAACTTATCTTGGCATATATATCATATGATTATCGGTTATTGTCTTCTGTTCTTGAAGAACCTGTATTAAAACCACAGAAAAAATATATTTGAGGTTGTCTCGCATATCAAATATACACTTAGACTTTTAAACTGGTGAAGATTTTAAATTTGCAGGACAATCGATAGGAGTAATTTAAGCATTGATTTTTTAGTTGTTATCACCTGAAATCATAATTAACGCAAGCTGAATCCAAACCCAACTATAATCGGACCCAGCTAAGTGTTACAGGAAATTAAAATCGAACCTCTATATCGACCACGAAACAAAGTGAATTTCATATGATAAAAGTACCTAATCTATCTATGAATAAAAATCAAAATTAAAAATAAAACTACACCTTCTCTCAAGCATGAAGATACGTTGGATGTGACGGTCGTATAGACCATACTGCAGCGGCGGACATTAAAACGAAATACCGAAATTGAACAGTCGGCCTGCAAGTCTTCCTCAATCTATAATACCCAGAATCAGATTTGGGAACCATTGTGTAATTGGCCAAGAAATTTCATTGAACGTTTTTTGGGTATAATAAGCAATGATAGAGCATCGAATTTGAAAGGGCAATCGGAGGTTCACAAAAGATTGCAGTTGAAGCTACATCAATGGCGGAGGAGATTGTGTCGATTACTCTGTCTATTTGGTCGGTGGAGTAGCCTTTCCTATCCTAGAGTTGTTGAAAAACTTATGTCTTAGCCAGTCTTTCTAAATGGGCTTCGTGAATATTATTGCTTAAAAGTATCCAACAAACTTTAGAACTCAATGTATTAAGTTTATATCAACTTTAGCAAGAAGTGACTGATACTTAGGCCACTCTAGTGGCTTTTCAATGGCTAGAATCGCCGCATTACAGTCCGACCAAACTTCGCAACTTAAAACACCTAAGTCCTTAAGACTCTGTAATCCCCAAACGATACATTGTAGCTCAGCTACAATGCGGTTAACTGTCGGGAGAAAGGCATCACGACCATGGAATAAAGCATCCCCGTTAGAATTGCGAAGTACCCAAGCTCCGCAACCAAAAGCTGAAGCCGTTCTCCAAGAAGAATGGAGATTACATTTTAACACATTCTCAGCTGGTCGACTCCATCTCCTTGCCCGCAAAGGAGAAAAACTGATGCATCGTCTTGTTTTAACATCCTGCAAGCTCTGTTGACAAATCCACTCCTCCATCTCCGACAGAGCACCTGCTAATAGAATATCGAAATGTGGTGCTTTGCCATTAAAAATGGCTGCATTTCTTCCTTTCTAGATCTCCCAAAGGATCCAGGGAATGGCATTCCGAGTTTGAGGAGCCAAATCTGCTCGGTAAACAAGATTCAACATGTAATCAATGTTCTCCTCGGTGGAAGCCATAAAACCGTGACTTGGTAGAAGGAGACCGGATGTACTCCAAACTTGTGAAGCTAAGGAGCACCGAAATAACACATGGGAGATTGTTTCTTCCTCAAGATGACATAACGAACATAGAGGATTAACATTTAAGCCATGTCGTCGCATACAAGAGGCCACAGCAATAGCTCCCGAAAGCACTCTCCAAAGAAACATATGAATTTTCGGTATAGTCTTCACCTTCCAGACCTTCTCCTTTACTTCATTCACCCTCTTTAAATGTTCAGAGATCACTGCAGAGTTATCTACTTCGTTGTTAGGCAGCCAATAACCACTTTTAACTGAGTATCGACCGTCATTAGTATATGCCCACACCATCTTGTCTGACAAGTTAACCTCTGGGGGAAATAATCTTATTCTAGCCACATCACATGGTGGGAAATATTCATTCAAAAGCTCAACATTCCAATCCCCTTGTGGTCTTATAAAGGTGGAGACGAGTAGATTCAGCTCATATAATCGATTCTTATTCAATGGGCGTCTTGGTTGCTCATCAAAACCCCATTTATCTAGCCAAACCCTTGTAGAACAGCCATTACCAATCGTCTTCATCAGTCCTTTTTCAAGAAGTTCACGACCAAACATGATACTGCGCCAAGATGGTCGAGAACCTACAACAGCTTCCATCAAACCTGTTCGAGGGAAATAACTTGACTTATGCACTCTAGCTAAAAGCGAGTCAGTTGAGTCTAACATCCGCCAAGCTTGCTTAGCGAGTAGGGCTTGATTAAAGTGACCAATGTCCCGGAATCCCAGCCCTCCTTGTGACTTTAGCTTACAAACTTTGTCCCAAGCTACCCAGTGCATCTTCTGTTTATCTTCTGTTGCATTCCAGCAAAAACTAGCCATAGCACTTGTGAGCTTTTTACATTGATGCTTAGTGAGTTTAAAACAAGACAAAGCATACACCGGCATTGATGGCGACATACTTTAATAGAACTGCCTTCCCTCCCAAAGAAAGCGTCTTATCATGCCAGCCTTTCAATCTTGAGTATAACCGGTCATTAAGAAAAGCTAACAACTCTCTCTTTGACCCGCTAAAACATTCAGGTAACCCAAGATACTTCCCAGCACCTCCAACTTGTTCTATCCCAGTAAACGAACTTATTATCCGTCTCATGTAAGGATCCATCTTTTTCCAAAAGAGATAGATGATTTCTGAAAATTTATCACTTGGCCTGAGGCTTTGCCGTATACGTCTAGACAATGCAAAAATTCACCGCATTCCTTTAGATTTGCATGACATAAGAAGAGACTATCATCGGCAAAGAGGAGGTGTTGAATAGACGGGCAGTCCGGTGTGAGACGCATACCCGTGAGCCTTCCTTCTTGCTCCGCTCTATTCATCACATGTACTAAAGCTTCCGCACAAAGAATGAATAGAAAAGGCGATAGTGGATCTCCTTGACGTATTCCACGTTCTGGTTTAATGAAGCCATAATCTATTCCATTGAGCAAGACCGATAACGACACAGACCGCACACAAACCATTATCCATTGCACCCATTTTATGTCAAAACCTAGGCGGATTAAAAGTTCTTCAAGAAAACTCCATTCCATCCGATCATACGCTTTAGACATATCCGTTTTGACGGCTATGAACTCTTCATCACAATCAGCATTTAAGTTTAGAGCATGAACTATTTCATGAGCCAGCAAAATGTTATCTGAAATAAGCCTTCCGGACACAAAAGCACCTTGTGTAGCAGCTACAATCCTCGGGAGAAACCTCTTCAGCCGTTGGCAAAGAATCTTCAAAACAATCTTGTATATCACCGAGCACAAACTAATTGGCCTTAAGTCCGTCATTCTTGTTGGGTTTTGTTTCTTTGGGATCAAGCAAATCTAAGTATAATTCCATTCCACAGGAAATGTACCAGATTGAAAAAATTGTTTAACCTCCTTAATCACTTGAGGTCCAACAATGTCCCAATAAGATTGATAAAAATGACTAGACATGCCATCTGCTCCAGGAGTGCGGTCACCTTTGATGCTAAAAGCGGCATTCTTGATTTCACAATCTGTCACCGGCCGTATTAGATTTCTGTTCATATCATCAGTAATAAAATATATAAATTAGTTTTCAAAAAAGAATATTTTCAAAATAGAAAAAAAAAAAATTTCAGGAAATTTAACAATTACTCAGTAGTAATCCTAAAGGAACAAAGATAGTAATTATGAAATAAAATTATTAATAAAAATTAGAAAAATTAGGTCTAACATCATGAATATTATGTAATATTAAAAAAAATTTATTTGGCGTTAATGTGACATGTGTCAATTGTATCGATAAGATATTGGCATGAATAAATTAAAGATGTATTCAAATATTTTAAAATTAAATTTATAAACCTATCATAAAAAAATATTCTACATAAGTAATATATAAGGTTATATATCTGTTTATAATATATATAAGGTTATAAGGTTATATAATACAATTACACAATTTATACAAGGTTATATATCTGTTTCAATTTATAAAAGAGAATTAAGATTTAGATGGTACAATTAAACGAGATTATGAGTTTAACAAAATAAATGTGTTTATTATTTTTTTTTTATAAAAATTTTATAATGATTTAATTTTAATTTTATATTTAAGTATTGTTTAATTTTAATTTATATTTAAAGGTAACTAGGTTAAGTTAGTTTCTGTGTTTATGGTTTGTATTTTGAATATCTTCTTTGTTTGGGATTTCATGGTCCAATGAATACTAAAAATGGACTACGAACACAAATACTTCGGTCAATTGGCCACAAACTCTCCGGCAGTGCTATAGCACGGATTCATTATTATTGCATACATACAAATATAAAGTTTGTGAATCAAGTTTACTTACCTTCAAAGTCAGTCATTCTCCGAAAACTAAGAACACACATTATAGGTCTATCCACATGGTCTGACTCGAAAATAAGATATGTCCACTCTTTCTGAAATTTTCTAGCAGATTTACCTACGACCACACATTGGATTATTTCTTCCTCTTAAATTTTGAAAATATTAGGGAACACTTAAACAGAAATCAATCGTTGTATAAATATGATGAATAAAATTTAAAATCAAATTGAGTATATGTTTCATCTGTCAATGTAAATGTGATAACACTAAGCATTTGCATAACCATATTCCCCATCAACGAAATTAATTTCTTGCATTTCAGAAGACACAATACCACTTGCATCTGTATTGAGATAGTAACACATTATTACATAATTAAAGTAAAACTCAATTATAGTGGAATACATTATTAGTATATAAAGAATTCAATGAACATATAAACTATAAAAAATACATATCAGCACAGTATTAGCGGTCCTCTTCATGTGAAGTGTCAATTTTTGATGCACAAGTGAAATTGAAAAACTCACTATATATTCTCGGCGGCACAACATGCATAGTTGTCCCGGGCACCACTGTTATTGTGAGATGATTGTGTGAGTTTTTAATAGGTAATCGATTTTCAAGTACCTGGAAGTTAGTCAATTGGTACCATGTACCCTCTAGAAGGTGATTATGGAAAGGAGATGCATATTTTATGTAGGGTTGAAAGAACCCATCCCGTTTTTTTTTTAAATCATGCAAACCAGATTAACCCGGTAAACTCAGACCAGCTAATCTTATTAAAACCAAACGATCAACATTAACAGCGGAAGACTTAACCAAAAATCCGATCAAAACAATCCCATTAAATCATCAAGGTCAGCCAAACTTTATTCCAAAACATGATCATCCTAACACGCTTCTAAATTTCATTCTAACACCCTAACAAATCCAACAATAATCTAAAACACCAATAAGCGCCTAGATCATCCTCCTCTCCTCGCCATGATTCCACGGATCACACTTTAGCTTTACCTGCATCACAGAAAGAGATGCATAAGTATTTCATAAATACTTAGTGAGGCAATCATCCCACTACTGGCTATACACACAAGCATATTCAATCATCATTCAAGGAAAGAACCAAGCAGTCAATAACAGACACACAAGAAAATCGCTTCTGACTAATCGGTGTTGATCAACACTCGCTGTTAACTCTCGCGGTCGACACCGGGCTCGACACTCCATTCGCGAATCGTAGCTATCCTTGCGGGACAAAACATTGGTGTCGAGCGACACCCACCATTGGTATCGATCGACACCCCGCTCTGCAGTCGCTCCAACTAACGCTTCTCACTAGATCTCCTCTCCAAATCACCACCATGATATGAGCGAGTCTCCAAAGGGTTCCACAAGCATCAATCATCATATAAACAGCCAAACAAGCAAAGAAAATCAATCAAAAAATCATTAAACACCCAAAACAATGGTCAAACATGCTTGAATAAGACTTGGTCATGCACTCACCTCTTAAACAAGAAAGAACAGCAACGAACATGGGCTTGCAAGGGTGAAAACAATCTCCACATACACCAAATACCACAGCTCAACCTTTCTCTAGCCTTGAACCACCAAGAACAAGCTTTGATCTCTCCAAAAACCCACTCAAAGACACTAAAAAGGATCAAACTCACTCTCTCTTCTCTCTCCAACTCACAAAGCGATAAACTGCAGCTAAAAGAGAGAAACGGCGCTTCAAAGTTTATAAAATCGACCAAGGTTTTCCCCTAAACCCATCCTCAATTGAACAACTTAAACCGTCGAACCAAGAATTACTAGTGTCGATCGACACCCAACATTGGTGTCGATCGACACCACCCAAAATTCCAGACACGGGCTTTACAATTCTCCCCCTCTAATTAGGATTCGTCCTTGAATCCTTCAAAACCGTCCGTCAGCACACAACTGGCCTCCCGAGGCTCCTATCTAATCAATATACTCACATTCCAGACCCTATTTGCTCATACACACCCACCTCCCCCGTCTATAGGTCGCAACCCATGAATCATACCGGCTCGTCCTCAGGCCTCTGCCTTAGACTACGGTATCCAGGAAGTCTCTTCACTTCCCCCGCTATCAGGTAGCAACCTTCAAGTCATACTGGCTCACTATTAAGCCTCCAGCCTTCTAGCTACGGTATCCGGGAAGTCTCATGCTCGCTCCAGCGTACACTCGAATCGTCATCTGAGGCCATCACATCATATCCGAGCAAATAAGTCTAAACGCTCCCGAGCATATCTCTAGATCAGATATACCTCCCGTGGTCTTCTTATAGCATCGCAATGCTATACTAACCACCACCCGAGACTTTCCAAAAATAGAACCGTCAAACCCGACACTTTCTATTTTTAGAAACTCGCACATATCTCTTTTACACATGACACAACAAGTCAAAACCAAGAAATACTAATCTTATTAATCTCAAATGTCAAAATCATTACACCAAAATAAAAAATACAAAAGAGATATAACCAAAACAACTCAAAAATAAGACAAGCCAACGGTCTACACCTCGACCTGCTTGTCAAACCACTTTCGGAACCTTGCCTTCATCCTGGCCACTGGCTTCCAAGTCTCCTCCAAGACTCCATCACAGTCCCACTGGACTCTCATCAAAGGAATCTTCTTACGTCAAAGTTCCTTTACCCGCCTCTCGAGAACCCTCACTGGCCTCGCCTCTAAGGTCATGCTAGGCTGAAGATCTGCCGGGATCGTAGCCAACACCTCATTATCCTTGTGAAGACACTTCCTCAGCATCGACACGTGGAACACCTTATGAAATGCATGCATCACCTCAGGTAACTCCAACCGATAAGCCACCGGTTCAACCCGCTCCAAAATCCTGAAAGGACCAATAAATCTCGGACTCAGCTTAGTCTCGGTAAGGGACATGTTAGGACCACGCAACATCGCCATCTTTAGATACACCATATCTCCAACCTCAATATCACAGGAAAACAACACAAATTCTAAAACAACAGAAGGAAATATATTGAGTCTTAGAATTAAACCTGTGATCGGTCGTCTAGTGCTTGGCTCTCCCGTCTCCACGGTCGAGTAACCCCACGATTCCTCGATCTGTGCCTCCGGCGGTGCTCCCAACTGAGCCAAAGACTTCCCTCCCAGTTGCAATTCTGGCTGCATCCACTGCTGCATCCACTGCTGCACCACTGGCTGCATCACCGGCTGCTACCGCCATCTCCTGCAACTTAGGACACCTCGTCTTGATGTGCCCAGTCTCCCTGCAGTGGTAACAAACACATGTATCCACCCACGGCTCGCCCTTCTTCGGGCAGCTCGCCACCCTATGATCTGTGCTCCCACACCTGAAGCACCTCCGATCACCCTGACTTGCCTTGGAAGTGTCATCCCACCTCCTCTTCTGTCCCTGAGCAGGTTTGTCACCTCTGCTCGGAACTGACTGCGGCTGGGTCTTCTTCGGCTGCACCGATGAACTAGGAATCACCCCGTGACTCCTCAACTCGTCCTTGATCCTCGCCGCCACCTCAACCAGCTCCACACACGATGCATAGGTTGCACCTTGCACCGCACCCTCATGTCGTGGTTGAGACCCTTCATGAACCGACGAACCTGCATCTGCTCAGGGTCTCCTGCACGACCCGAATACACCAAGATTAGGCTAAACTCCAAGTTGTACTCCCGCACTGACCGCTCTCCCTGAATCAACGCCAAGAAATGCGACTCCATTCGGTCTAGTGCCTCCGCCGGGAAATACTTAGCATTAAACTCTGCCAAGAAATCCCTCCAAACATTTACTCTCTGCTCCCTCTTGGCCAGCACAAATGTGCATCACCTGCCAAGTAGTGGGCCGCCAGGTTCACCCGATACGCCTCTGGGCACCTCGTCGACTGGAAATACCGCTCTAATCACACTTGACACTCATCCGCTACAGCCGGATCGGAACCTCCGGCGAACAAAGACATCCTGAACCACTGCAGCTGCTCCAACATCCGCAAGTAGTACGGCTGCTCGACCACCGCACCTACCCCCTCTGGCTGTACAACCCCGACAATGGGCTGCACACCAGGTCCGACTGGAGCTTGCACCTCAGGCCCAACAGTAGCCTGCACCGGCGTTACCGCACACGGTAACCGCTCAAAGAGCTGGGTCAGCAGATCCGCAAGTCGATCATTCTAACATGGGCTCCACCTGCTGGAATACCCCCAACCGGGTTTCCAACCACACTAGTACCGTTCCCGAACGAACCGGCTCCCACGGCACTCACACTAGCACCACCCAAGTATCCCTCCTGATGCGACTGGGATTCGCTGACAAAATTGGCCGTAGCACTCCGGTCCACACTCGAATCGCTACCCAGGGCAACACTAGCCACTTACTGCGACAACGCCCACGACCATGACCACGACCACGACCGATAGCTCCACATCTAACCATTTGCAATAACAACAGAAAGCTAAGAACACTTAACCAAAACACCAAACCACACAACTTACCATGGAATGTCATTGAAGGCTCGAGAGGATGATCTAGGTCTCCATGCTCACACAATTGATTAAACACACAAATCAATAAGCATGCAATCCACATCACCATTCATCATCAATGCAATTCACACATCACATCACAATTTACCAATTAAATCTCGTCCTAGAACCGTAAATGCTCTGATCCCATATTGAAAACCGTTTTTTTTATAAATCATGCAAACCAGATTAACCCGATAAACTCAAACCAACTGATCTTATTAAAACCAAACGATCAACATTAACAGCGGAAGACTTAACCAAAAATCCGATCAAAACAATCCCATTAAATCATCAAGGTCAACCAAACTTTATTCCAAAACATGATCATCCTAACATGCTTCTAAATTCCATTCTAACACCCTAACAAATCCAACAATAATCTAAAACACCAATAAGCGCCCAGATCATCATCCTCTCCTCGCCATGATTCCACGGATCACACTTTAACTTTACCTACATCACATAAAGAGATGCATAAGTATTTCATAAATACTTAGTGAGGCAATCATCCCACTACTGGCTATACACACAAGCATACTCAATCATCATTCGAGGAAAGAACCAAACAGTCAATAATAGACACACAAGAAAATCGCTTCTGACTAATCGGTGTAGATCGACACCCACCACTAGTGTCGATTGACACTCGCTGTCGATTCTCGCGGTCGACACTGGGCTCGACACTCCATTCGCGAATCGTAGCTATCCTCGCGGGACAAAACATTGGTGTCGATCGACACCGCTGCTCTGCAGTCGCTCCAACTAACGCTTCTCGCTAGATCTCCTCTCCAAATCACCACTATGATATGAGCGAGTCTCCAAAGGGTTCCACAGGCATCAATCATCATATTAGCAGCCAAACAAGCAAAGAAAATCAATCAAATAATCATCAAACATCCAAAACAATTGTCAAACATGATTAGATAAGCCTTGGTCATGTACTCACCTCTTAAACAAGAAAGAACAACAACGAACAGGGGCTTGCAAGGGGAAAAACAATCTCCACAGACACCAAATACCACAGATCAACCTTTCTCTAGCCTTGAACCACCAAAAACAAGCTTTGATCTCTCCAAAAACCCGCTCAAAGGAACCAAAAAGGATCAAACTACTCTCTCTTCTCTCTCTAACTCACAAAGCGACAAAGTGCAGTTAAAAGAGAGAAACGGCGCTTCAAAGTGTATTGAATCGACCTAGGTTTTCCCCCAAACCGAGCCTCAATTGAACCGACGATTTAAAAACATAAACCATCGAACCAAAAATTACTAGTGTCGATTGACACCCAATCTTGGTGTCGATCGACACCACCCGAAATTTCAAACACGGGCGTTACAAGGGTATTGTAGCATCAATCCTACAACCCTGAAATAAACTTGATAGATACAGATATAATTAAGAAGGATGAATATACTTATCTACTTCTCTAATTTAGATGTAAGTATAATAAAATAATCTGACCTTCTCATCAACCAAAATCATCTTCTTCCTCTTTCCATTGGAATCACGTTTAGGCTTCCATATTGATAGAACTTTAACAAACACACTCCAATTAGTTCCATTGGTAGTGAGATCAGAGAAGTAGTTTGTGGTTGCCATGACTTGTTCATTGCAGATTGTGTTGTGAAGATGCGGAACTCTATTTTGAGATTTATGTAGAGACCCTTTATATCTTTGATAATATTAGGTCTAGTGTCGTGTAATTTAATTTCTAGAATAAATAATTAGAGAAAGATGTCTTTTTAGATATTATATAAGTTAACTTTACATTCTATGGAAATTCTCAGCAGACAAAAACATTTGTCGCCCCTTTTCATTTGCAAAATCTGGAATGAGTTAGATGCATAGTACTATTGTTTTGTTCAAAAATTGAGTCAAAGAAACACACTTGTTAATTGTGTGGTCAGATCATTTTCATTTTCCAATGTATGCAGTATTAATACTTTTGACTGAAAATTATTTCATTACATCTTTGGCATAAAAGTATTTCATTTGGATGGACAACAAAACAACACACATAACCTACTTGTTGAACCTATATAGTTGTGTTTTTTTCTTGCCATATAACACATATATAAAACCAAGATAATAAAAGTAAGAAAAGAGGCCATACTTTTAAAACAAATATAAAATGGAGTACGAATGTTTTAAAATTCCAAAACTTTTACAATAATATGAAGAACCAAAAATACTGTTTTACCTTGAGAGATCTTAAGGATGCATTAAAGGTTCTGAAATACTTCTTTGAAGACAACATTCCTTGTTTTTGTTTTCGGTTTTCCTTTTGCATATGTTATCAGAATTTTCAAGCTAGATTTTGAACTTAACCGAGACATTGCAAGATATAGTTGGCCATGTGAAAAAACCGTCCGTGGTAAATATATCACGACTTTAGAAAGTGATTGTCCTTGGCTCTTGTTGATGGTCATTGCAAAGGCAACAGATATTGGAAATTGTCTCCGCCTCATTTTGAAAGGCAATCTTAAATCTAATGGTGTTAGAACCATTCTTGGCAACATAACTAATTTCCCAACTCTAGTATCAGTTAGGATTCGTGCTTGAAAAACATGATCTGCCATTTGTAGAATCTAAAGTCTTGTACCATTCATCAAACCTCTATGGGCATCAATGTTGTGCAACAACATTACTAGGCAACCTATTTTCAAACGAAGAGCATGGTTTGGTACACCAGAAATCCTGACCGAATTTAAATAGTCTTGAATATATGTAGGATTGTCTTTGTTTTGTTTATCGGAAGGATCGAGACTGTCAGAACTTAAGTACATCCTCTCTTCACCTATTAAACGATATACATATATATATATATATATATATATAATTAAGTAATTGTCAAACTTCAACATATATTAAAAGATATAAGGTAAATATACTACTAACAATCTATTCTTGATAACATGTGGTCGTTAATTGAGTTGACTTCATCATTCGTAGGACATAATATTACTCGACTTTGGAAATATGAAGGATCTTTCTCGGTGGCGAATGAATTCTCGTATATATACTTCTCTAACGATTGATTCAATAGGGTTGTCTACTTCTGTGATAAGCAACTCTTCCGAGATATCAATATCAGCAACTCCATCATTTCGCCTGTTTAGTCTGCCTTCTCCTACATCAAGTATCCATATAGAGAATTTTTCAATTTCATGGGCCTCAGTAGAACTAATATTTTGAAACAGCCTCATATTCTTTGTCAACTTCAAAACTTTACAATGCTCCCAAAGGTAAGATGCATTCAATGATGAGTGTACTATCTGTTCTCTACCAGCACCATCTATGACAAGAAGTATCCGTCGGAAATAACCACCGAAAAGAATAACTTTGCCTCCAAACGGTTTATCTTCTGGACTTTGGAGTATATCTTTCGGACTTCTATCCAACGTTTCAAAA